GAGAGAGAGAGAGAGAGAGAGAGAGAGAGAGAGAGAGAGAGAGAGAGAGGCAGAAGCATATATAGACAAACTGACAGGAGCTATTAATCAATTAGGTTGAAAATACTAATAGATAGGGAAGTATATATATTAAATTGATATCAATTTGTTTATTATTTATAGGCAAAAGTAAACTAGAATTTTACTATCTAGCGCCTAATTGTTTACTTGGCATTAGTTGTTAATTATAGATGTATTATATACATATACGTGTTTTATATTATAGATATATATATATATGTATTATATAGATATATATATATATGTATATGTTTTATATTATACCAAATGAAAGAGCTGCATATGAAAGACTTAGCTTGATGTCCAGAAAAGTATCATATATATATGTAAGTATCGATATAAGTATCGATGACATATTAGTATCCATATATACATACATATCTATCTATCCATATACATACATATCTATCTATCCATATACATACTATCAAATAAACTGCGGTGTAATATTTAGCTTAGATCTTTTATATGCAGCTCAGGTATTTGATTATTAATACAAGAGATTCTACACTCTCATTCATCGATAGAATTATATTTAGATATATGCTATATTCGCATTCCTTTTTATGATGTTCATACACCTAAAAATATGAAATATATATAAATGAATATACAAATTAATAGAGAACATATTTTTTTTTTTTAAATTTTAGTCAAATCAAATCTTTGGTCTTGACTCTTTGAATTCTAGCTTTATAGATTTATGGAGATTGTGATCGTATTGCTTTCTTAAGTAGAATTAGCTTGCAATTCTAGCTTTATCCAAGGTACTATATAGATAGCAAAATAGAAAAGCATTTCTTATAGGAAAAACAAAAAAAAACTAAAGCTCTAATCCTACTAATTTTGACAATTGAAATTCAAATATAATAGCTAAACTCTTGGTTGTTTTATTGCTCAGTTTTGATCAAATGTCAACAGGAATAAGTAACTGCAACTTAGCTAAATATATTTAATTTTACTTTTATTCATTATACATTACAAGAATATAATATTTTTGTAAATTGCATAAAGTCCTAATCTAAACGCCTTGTGAGATTTAGGTTTTTTAATTTCATGCGAATTTGCAATGTCAGAATGTTTTTGTCACACAAACATACATACATACATATTTCTTATTCACATTTCAAGTTCCCAGCCCCACACATACACACACACACACATATATATATATATATATATGTATGTGTATGTAGTATATTTGACGATCTTAAAAGTTTCTAACCCTGACTGGCCAATTAATAGGAAAAACATATATATATATATTGCGTCTCTCTCTCTCTCTCTCTCAATGCCAATGCCTGGCTGAGCTATAGATTCATAATGGAGTACATACATATATTTATGCGACAGACTGTGGAATCCAGTTAGTCAGCTGGCCATATGGAACGCTCTGGCGGCTCATAGCAAGGGGTTGTCAGCTTTGTTGTTGTTGTTGTTGTTGTTCCTTTGAATCGAAATGCCTGCGTGCACTTAATAAAATAGGATTAACATTTTATAGTTGCATTGTCTGTGTATGTGTGTGTGTGCGTGTGAGTATAAAATTTTGACAACTGCGCATTGCTGTCTTTTTATTTCGGCTCGAAGTCGCTTTTGAATGCGAAACATTAGAGTCTTTGTACATAAATACTACAACCAGTTATTGGAATGATGACAGCTGCGAGGACTGATAAAGAGGCGTTGCCTTTAAATTAGTCCTGCGTAGCTTGGATATCATAAATTATAATATTTGAGAAATCATTTTAAAACGCAAATAATCCGCTGATGAACCACGAAACGGCTGGAAAAACGGCCTAACATATTTGGAAAAATTTCAATAACAATATAATTTAAAAATATTTTATTTTAAATGTTATATACGAATGGTTTCAAAAATCAATTGAAGAAATAGCTAATATTATTGAAATATATCAGTAAATATAATGTGAGCTAATTCGCAATTTGTATAAAATAAATTTTACTTAACAGTAGATCTCTAGTTCAGGGGAACTATTTTTAAGTTAAAAAAGAATTAGAACTATCCGCTTGAAATCCTGTTTCCAATGCACCCAATATAATATTTGCCCTTAGATATATGTATATAAGCTAGGGCTGAAGAGAGCAGATATAGATAGTTCTTAAGATTCAAGTAGGGAATGTGAACCTGTGAACTGGTTCGCAAGTGGTTCGCTGCTTGAATGCCAGCAGGACCTCAAGCTAAATCAATTTTACAGCTTGGCTAGAGTCTAAAAAAAGAAACCGGTTTGCCTAATGTCATAATTTCGGATTGAATTGAGCTGTGCCTGTGCCTGTGCCTGTGCGTGTCTCGAGTATCTTCCCATGGCTGCATCCGCAAGATACTTTTCGGGCATAACTTATGCATCAACGCGTACAATTTCGAGCATAAATCGCGCGCTGTCACCCGACAGCGACTTGCCTTTTTGTCATCATCGTCATCCCAATCATCATTGTCATCATCATCGTCGTCAGCCATCCATCGGCTGGCCAACTAGCTATACCACATACATATATTTATCGCTGATATGTCTCTCTCTCTCTCTCTCTCTCTGACTCTCTCTCCCTCTCTGTTCGTTCCTTTTGTGTTTTGTTTCTTTCGCTTTCTGTTGCTCTTTCTCGCTCTTTAGCCGTCGTTAAAATATTTTTGGGTGTGTTCTGTATTTTAATAGCTCTACGAGCCGCGTGCGCATTGCCACTTCCTTTCGTATCTCTCAAACACACACACACACGCACACCCGCACTCACACACACACTCGCACAACAGTTTGTTTAATTTCTTTCGAATTTGTCAAAAAAAACGTAACATGATTTCAGTTTTTACTTACTCAAAGTCTGGCCGCCCATTAGACGCGTTTCTCAGCTAATCCCGCGTGCGACTCACTTTGAATTATTAAAACCAAATCTTGATTGTATAAACGTATATGTCTACGCTTCGAGTTACAGTTTTTATTTTATTTTGCGCTCCTTCTCCCCCTCTCTCTCCCTCTCTCTCTCTCTCTTTGCTTCATTTGATATATATATAAGTATACAAGTCGTGGGGCATTTTTATAATATGTCTCGCCGTTGCGATCGCACGAACTCCTCTTCCCAGGTATGTGAGGCATTTCATCAGCTATCTGCCATAATAACTCCCCCACCTTGAGCAGTGCACAGACACACATAAATCTGAGCTTCGTTTTCGACTGTTTCGTATTTCGTTTCGTTGCCTTTTTTTTTTCTCTCCAAAATTTTAGTCTCAATTTTAGGATTAAAAATGTCGTCAGCATTTTTTAAGCTGAATTCAGTTCTTGCCTCACATCATTTGGCATTGATTTTGTTATAAAAAAAAAAAGCACACACACACCCAATTTATATGTGTGTAGATTCATATCTCAATTCATTTACTCATTGGCTTTCTGACAGTTTGATTTGGGTTTGCGTTGCGCCCAACTATTGATCATTTGAATGCGCTTTTGATTTAACTTGGCCCTGCTAGATGTTCCAATTAAGCTCGCGAATTGCAATCGTTTTTTTTTTCCCTCTTTTCCTGTTGCCCCTTGATCAGTTAGCCAGCCAGAATCAACTAAAAGCAACAGAAAATATGTAAACTATATATATTAATTTATTAAAATTTAAAGCGCATGACTTTCAGCGCAAATGGCACAGAAATAACAACAACAACAACAACAACAGCAACTAGCAAAATAAATTGCTATGATTCATGCGTCACACTTGCGCATAATAACTGGGAGAGGGCTAAGAGCTGAACACAGCCAAGCACAAAATGAATGCCAATCCACGACGACAAAATACCGCGTGAAATGTGAAAAACCTAAACAAAATACATTATAATTAAAGCCTAAACTGCTTAAGCTAAACGGTAAACTTAAGAAGTATTCAGAGTTTAACTTTGTCCAGCTAATATACCCGCTTTGCTGCGCTTTTGGTACAGGTATCAGAGACTTAAGGAGCACAAGGCAAAAGCCAAGTCGAAACGGAGCAGGCAACAAAAGTTAGCGGCGCATGGAAAGAAAGAAACTTCAAGGCGCAAGGCGTAAGATGCTGACGTCGACGCCGACGCAGACGCAGCTGCCGAGAGCGAACGCAGGCGCAGCTGATGTTGGCGTTGGCGTTTGGCATCAGCTGCTGTTTGGCAGTTGCCCAGTTGTCAGCTCGCTTTTCGCTATCTGCGGAGATTTGTTGCCCCTTGTGGCATTGTTGCCAGGCGGCTGCTCGGCTAGATTCTAGATATATGCTCTCTGGTGGGCACCTCTCCAGGTGTGCGCCACAAAAATGCTGCTGCAAGCTGTGTGTCCCAAAAAATAAGAAAAAAATACAAAAAGCTCGCGCAATTTGTTGCATGTTATGCGAGGTGTTGTTGTTGTTGCTGTTGTTTGTTTGAGTTAATTGAAATATTTTGTGAATTTCGATTTCCAGACCAACGGAGCGAGCCAATGCCAATGTGTCCGGCCCCCGTTAGAATCGGGCCAACACAACGAGAACGCGCATTGATTGTCTAATGACAACCTAATTGAGGCTATCTATCACCCGGGTGTACTTAGTTTAGTCTAGCCTTTAAGTGAGGCGCCCTAAGCTCGCCGATGCAATTAGCAATTAAATTTCACGTTGACCTAATGCCCAGCTAAAGTGATTTTCGACTTATTTGTCAATTACAATTGCGACTTGGCCAAGCTTCGGCCAGCTCGACAATCCCTTGATAAATACAATTAGGTGTAGCGTCGCTGTGGACACCGTTAGGTTAGGTGCTTTATTTGTTGACAGTAAAATGGAAAACCGAAAATCATTCGCATGACTTTAATTACAATTTAATATTTATTTAGTTCGATAAGCGGCCCACAATTATTGTATAACCTACGAAGAAGTATACAGATATGACTACACCTAGTCACACACACACGCACACACACACACGCACGCACACACCTTTGTTGATTGTATTCGAATGGTTGTGCAAATTTATTTAACAAGTCGCTGATACCAGGAAGAAGTTGGCGTTTTCCACTTAATTAAAATTTAAACCTTGTTTATATTTAAATGCAATCTCAGCAGTTTTCCAGCTGATAGTCTCGAGTAAGCCCTATAGATTTAGCTTAAGGCGAAAACAAATTGGGAATTACAATATATATAAATGAAATGAAAACCAACAGCTTGGACTGGCTTGGCCCAATTATGCCCTCTGATAGGTGTTAAAACCTCTTGGCTAGCCAAGCAGAACCCAGTTCAGGGCGTATGGAGTGTGTAGCAAAGAGCATGATAAACAATAAACAAAGAGCAGGCGTCACATTGGCAAAAGGGGCGCGTTGGCCCGTTTAGCATTTCCCTCTGTGTGTGTGTGTGTGTTGGCCACATTATCAGCTCTTGGGGCAATTGCCTCGAATTAGTTAACACATTTGTTTTGCTGTTATGCTGCTGCTGCTTCTTCTTCTTCTTGCACTTGTTGTTGCTCATAATTAAACAATTTGTATTTTATGCCATTTGTTGAGGGGGCGCGCATTTAAATTAAAATTGTTCTTTGGCTTTTAGCCGCCGCCTGATAAGCCATAAAAAACACGCCTAAATCAACAATTAAATTGCGTTTCCGAGAAGCCAAAAACAAGAAAACAACAACAACAACAACAAAAAGTCAGAAAAGCAACGACAATGGAACGTACATATGTAAAATTGTTATACTTGCAAATACGAAATGTATCTGTGAGATACATTGGCGAAATTTGTGCAGCTGCTGCTGCAATGTGTTGCCGCATCCGAAATGCGCATTAGAAGGCATCCAACAACAAAATTCAAATGATTTCTATGTTTTTTTTTTTTCTTTTCGGGATTAGTTTTGAATAGGAAAAAGTTAAGCCGAAATGCGTACGTGCAAAGTTATAAAGAACAACGACAACAATAACAATAACAACAGCAACAACAACAAGCACAACAACAATTGCTGTTCCGTCACAGGGCGAAGCAACGTGAGCAACAACAACAACAACAATGCAAAGGCCAAACGTTAGTGCAGCCGAATGAAAGAAACAGATACAAAGAATCATATTGATGAATGTGTGTGTTTGTGTGTGTGTGCTCTGGCTCTCAATGCATGTGCGTGTCCACTTTTTCATTAAAATGATTTTGCACCCAACTTGCATTTCAATTAATCCATTGCATAACTCAACAACTTCTCAAAGAACTGGAGCACATTCAAGAAATCTGAGAAGCTTTAACGTCTTTCAATTTATGCAAAAGGCCTAAAGATATTATTTAATAAAAGGATTTTTATGATAGTATTATCACAACTTTGATGTATTCGAATTAATATTTATATGAATTTATTACGAGTTTTGCTCAACTACAAAAAATATAAAACAAACAAAGCCCATTTTGAGCCTTAGAAAAATCCAAGAAAAAAATAAAAAAATTTGTAAATAAAATATATACAAATCTGTAATATTTAAATTTCATATAAAATATTCGAAAGTAAATAATTAAATTCCTGCACTGCTGATACGCTTAACAACTGTAAATATGATTTTTTGTGAAATCGTTTGCAAAACTTGAATTTATCTGCGATCTACTGAAAATTGCTGTAGAAAAAGTAGCTCAAAGTTTGTCTTGGTGATTATGGCTGCTTACTAATTGAAGCAGTTCGATCTATGCGCTCGTCTTGCACACACACACACACACGCACACAGAGAGAAATGTGTGCTGTGTGCACATTAAGATCAGATACAAAGATACATTATCTGAGCTGAGTTACGTCTTCGGTTTGTAGGCGGCGTTTGGCGCAATTAAAACGCTTAAAGCTAAACAGCAGAAAGTCAGACAGTCAGCCAGTCTGTCATTCAGTCAGTTATTCAGTCTCGGCTTGACTTGACTTGTATGCTACTTAAAGATACATGCCACACACACACACACACACATGCGCAGAGTCAATTCGTTGTTGATCGCCCTGGCGTTTGGGTCTAGAGTTTTGATCTGCTGTCTGTCTGTGTATCTATGTGTGTGTGTGTGTGTGTGTGTGTGTGCCTGTAATGTATAGATATAAATAAGCGATACGTGTAATTCGGGTCACTAACCGTTAACAATAAATTTCATTTGTTTAAAGGAGAAAAAAAACTTATTTTTTTCTGCGGTAGCTAAGCCCGAGTATGGCAACGGCGGGGCGGTGTTGAGGGGGCGGCAGATAACTGAGAGCTGACTGTAAGAAATTGACATCTGATCATTTGTAATTATTATTATTATTATTGCGCATTGCGAGACATGACATGGCAGCCACTGGGCGTGGCTTATCGAGCGAGTGTATCTCACTCACTCAACATAGCATTGGCTGGCCAATTCAAATGAGTATCGAGTATTGAGTAGCTGGTTGGTTGGACTGACACACACACACACACACACACACACACAGAGACACACACATAGTCAATTTGATATACTTGTTTAATGACTGCATTCTAAAGGCCGCCAAACGAATCGGGCTCGTATATCGCTTCGAGTAATGATAATTTACATGGATCCCGAATAGTTCACTGAACTCGTTCAATCAATCTTAGATTCGGCGCATGGAACAATTAATGCCAAAAAAAAGAAGAAGAAGAAGAAGCAAGAAAGAATAACTCAACTCTGTAACCACATGGCTGAGATCTGTGTGAGGGAGTGAGGCAGGGGGCAGTTGGGGCTGCGGTTTGGAGGGGATCGAATTTTGAGGCTTTCTTTCTTTTGATTTGTAAGTAGTTTTCGGCATCGTCGTCGTCTACTTGAAGCGTTTCAGTTTTCGTTACTTAAGTCCAAGTTAAATGGAACCAGAAATTATTTGAACGCCTTCAAGTTATACACACACACACACATATAGCCATACATACATATACATATTCATATATCTAAACCTATGAAGGCAGCAGTCTAAAGTCGTAGCGTAATCATGACTTGATGCGATTATAAAATGCTACAGCAACAACACACCCAGCTCTCTCGTTGGCAGCATAAAAAGAAATTAGATACACACACACACACACAACAACAACAACAATAAGTTTCAATATTCAAATGAAATTTGTTTGTAAGAAAAAAATGACTAACGAAATTTCGTTTAGAATTGTCGAGTAAGATTTTATAACAACAACGTATATGAGTTTACCAAGTGAAATGCTTAAAGAAATGTTAACCCACATCAAAAAATATCTCAACTTAACGCACACACTCAAGTTATAAACAATTAAAGAAACTTTTTGTATAGAAATTCAAAAGTGGCAGCTACGAAAAATGTTCAAATGCCAGTCAGCAATTGGTGGCAACTGCTTTTTGGAGTTTGTGGCAAGCAGACGTCGGAACTGGGGCTGGGGGCACAGCACAACTCAAATGAGTTATGTGCTTGTGTGTGTGTGTGGGTGTTGCTGACAATGAGACTGAACTGGCCGTGCTTAAACCAACTTTCTAGCAAACTAACCCAAAACTAAACTCAAATATTTGTATAGAAACAATTCGAATACATTTTATATAAATTGCAAAGAAATTGCACAGCGAAAGTTCTTGATAAAGCAACAGAAAGAGAGAGAGATAGAGTAAAAAATCAAATGATATGTGGATATTCAACTATAATTCACAAAACAGTTTTGGAGCTCTGGCTCTGGAGTTAATTCTAGGTTTCAGTCGATTGGTTTAATAGTTCATTTGAATGGGAAAACGTGAAGACAAATCAATTGTAGTCGCGTTTCGACTTCAGCACGCCCCATGCCATGCAAGGGGGCAAGGCTGTGCTCTCCTCCTAATTTATATGCTCGCAACAATACAATAACAATCGGCATTGGCCATATAAGGCGTGCGGGCCAGAGTCGAGTGTTCAGTGTAATGAACTTGTCAGCCAGCCATGTTTAGGGTGTGTGCGAGTGTGTGTGTGTGCGTGTGTGTGTGTGTGTGTGTGTGCGGGCAAAGAAAGTCACAGACAGTACGCATAAGTACAATAAGTTTTTGTATATTTTTTAAAGAGAGAGATACGAGTCTCAACCGCATAATGACTATTCAAATGCGAGCTGCTCCATTTGTTTCCAGGCCGATTGAGATGGAGATAGCAATAGAAATAGTCGCCTAGTGGCATAGGTAATCCATTTGGCTTGCCGATATCTGTGCAGCTGTCACAAAGACACCAGCTATACAACAGTCTGTTTCAAAAGTATGCACACAGTTGGGCCAACACTCAACTTTGAGCTGCCAGCCAGACAGCCAGCCAGCCAGCCAGCTGCGCCCGAAAGCGTATCCCCCCATCCACTATTGCCGCCTTGTGGGCTGACTAATGAAACACAACCCAATAATTTAGTAAGTTTTACCTACGCATGCGCAATTCAACTTACAGTCGATGCCTCAGCAATTGTCACAGACTATAAAAAAAAGTCAAGAAAATAAAACGACAAAGAATTTTGAGCCTTAACTAGACGAACACCAAATACTCTTAGGTTGTAAGTGAGGATGGCAGATGTATGTAAACTGGATAAGACGTTCAGGAGTCGAGCTGTGATCGGGAACTTATCTCAGTTCTAAGTTATCTACTCTATAGAGCAAATGGAACAAAGAGGATGAGAGTTAAATGAAATATTATTCATTGAGCTGGGGTTGGGAGCTAAGCTGAGGTCAAAGTCAGCTGCTCTGTAGATCAAACTGAATAACGAGTAACACAGCCCAAGTTGACGATAGTATTAGTATATAGTGTTCATACTTTTTCATATAGATTCCCTCCAGATTCAGAGAGCTGTGATTGAAGATTTAAGAGAACTACTCTTGATACATCAAGCTGCATATCGAAGAACTTCTGTTCTGCCTTATGGCAGTCTAATGACTCACATTTTCTAGTCAAATAGTAGTTGTAGTACTATTAGACAATATTATTTTACAACAAAAAGCTCTTATTATGTATAGAAAAGAAATCCTTATTGAATTCCCAGACAAGCTTAAGAATGCCTTAGCTGGTTATATCTAATCTCTCATAAACCCTGCGTCATTCTCATTCTACTTCCCGTTTAGATCTTTATTTGTTACATGCTTGCCAATAAAACGGTAGTACCCTACGCATAGAGTATCTAAAAAAGTAGTAAAAAATGTCACTGAACTCGCGCGCGACGCTTTTTCCAGCTTTTATTTTTTTTTTTTTTGGGTGTAGGCCAGGCTTGAGCTGGGAAGTAAACAAAGGCACGTTTGGAAAAAACGAAAAAAATCTTATTTCGTTTTTTTTTTTTAGCTAGTTACAATTGTAAGTAGCACACCACGACGACGACGACGACGTCGCAACGCTGCTGACGTCGACGGCTGCAGTTGAAGCAACTGCGCAGGCGCGCGCGTGTGCGTCATGAAATTAGTTTATTTGTTTGCATAAGTTGTTTGTATGTGTGTGTGTGTGTGTGTGTAGTTGTTGTGTTTGGTTTGTTGTAGCAATTTCTAATAAATTTGTTGTTGGCAGCGCCAGTGTCATGCACACCTGGAGCATAATTCGCCAGCCATGAGTCAATTTCCGTCAGCTGCGTCCAAATTATAACAAAAATTGTTCAACTTGTATGAATAAAAGGCAAAATGCATATGTTAAATTGAAACTCTATGTGTGTGTGTGCGAGTACTCAACCGAAGAGCCGAAAAGGGTGTGCGCTAAGAGGCGCAGGGAGAGCTAAGAAATGCCAGCTCCACTTAAGCCATCGGAATGAGCTCGGGGAATACTGCGACGTTAGAACAATAAACACTATACAAATCAATGCTCGATGCCACTTGAATTCATCCAGAGCACAGCAGTTCGAATCGAATCGCACCGAACGGAACGGAATGGATTGGAACGGAATGGAAGGGGTAGGTAGTTTGGATGTGGAATTGAAAATTATCGTAGGGGCATTGGGATTTTTGGGCACTTTCATGGGTTCGCCTTGCCTGCCCACTTGAACGTTCGATGACATTTCAGTTTTTATTTTAGTATTTCGACTCTGTGTAATTATAATAATACATAAATTTGTGCCGCGCCACGCATAAGCTGAAAAGAACAGAACGAGCTGTGTGTGTGTGTGTGTGCCGTTAAAAGATGCCCTGTAAAAAAAAAAGAGAACGAGAACAAGAACAATTCCAATTCATTTCAATAGAAATTCAAATTCTCAATTAAAGCCGAGTTTTGATTGCTTTGGGTTAGACGAGACGCTGTTTATAATTCCAGATCCTAAAGATGCTCAGATTAAAGAGAGCTAAGTGAGCTGATGATCGTGACTCTAAACTACCTCGCTCTCTGGCATTTCGAAAGACGTGGTATATTAAAAATGGAATCTGTAAAATCATTTCGAGTGCTACAAAGTTTAACGATTCCCAGTTACGTACTTATAATACCTAAATAAATACAAGAGTGTGTGTGTGTGTGTGAGTGTGCGTGTGTATGTGTGTGTATATATGCCCTCCAGGCAGTCAAGTACTCGTAGCTGTACTTATATGGACCCCATTAAAATGCGTTCCATTCGCACTTCAGCTGAAACTGTTAGCGAGTGTGAACTGTAACGTTGCTTTAGCTTCTTTGACGCAAATAGTTCACTGTACTAAGTAACATGCAATAACTTTGTTAATTTGTCATAATTATACTTGAACAACAAACAGAGTGAGAGAGGGAGAGAGAAAGAGAGAGAGACAGTTACTGTCTGATAGTTTTGGTTTGGCTTTTCGTAGTGGGCCTCACTACAATGCCGTGCTTTATTTAAAGGCACAAGGTTAAGACACATTTTGTCGCTGCTGTGTAGGTTTCACGCGCTCCGTGTAAAGCACTGGCGATAATTATTTTCGGTTTTAATATTAAAAGAAACGAGACAAATAATCAAACTCAAGCCATTTGCTGAGATTGTGTGTAAACCAGTTTCTAGTTGTTTAATTTCAATGCTTAATGCTCACAATTGATTGGAGTGATTATTTGTTGTATTATTATAAACGTTATTGTGTTATTGATGTCTGACCAAAGAGAGAGAGGGAGAGAGGGGGGGGGATAGCTAAAATCTAACTATATTATATGGCTCTCTCTCTCTCTCTCTTTAGTTAAAATTCATTTTAGCTTCCTGTTCGATTTGCGATCGTAGCATATTCCAGCTTTGTTTCTCAGCCACGCCCCTTTCTGAGCAGACGCTACGCATTTAAATGTGACAGCTCCTAACTCAAATTGAATAATTATCAATTGCTAATAAATACATTCATATGATGTGGCAATAAGGCAAACACAGCAATAATAACTAATAATCGTAATCATAAGCACAATTTTGAATGACTAAGTTCCTTCCATAACACATAATGTGTACATAGAAATATATATATGTGTGTGTGTGTGTGTGTGTGTGTACGCTCTCCGTCTATGCCCATTAAATACGAATACATATCCATTCAAACATATAGAAATGAGTACTCACAAATGCAAATTGTAAATCAGATACGGCATAAAAATATTGAACACATGGCGCAGCGTTAAGTGAACTGAAGTTTTCAGTGCGGGTGTATCAAAGGGGGCTACAGAGGCACGGCAGAGAAGGGGATAGGGGGGGCAGAGAGGCGCTGCGAGGAGCGGTAATCGGTTTGGATAAGGCGGGAAGAGTGCTGGTAAAAATCGAAATGAAATAAAGTTAAATAAAGCACAATAAAACGTACTTCAAAATTGACGATTTGTGGCAGCGCCACAGCGATTGCCGTGGTACCAGATCACTTCAAATTGGGTGAATAGATATGAATACATGAATATGTGAAAAAAAAATTGGGAAAACAAAAATTTCAAATACAAATAATAAATAAGAGTAAATACAGATAAATAAAAAAAAAAAAATTTTAAATAATAAAATGATAATAAATAATAAAAAAAATAATAAAAATAATAATAATACAAATAATAATAATAAAAATAATAATAATAATAATAATAAAAATAATAATAATAATAAAAATAATAATAATAATTAAAATAATAATAATAATAAAAATAATAATAATAATAATAAATAATAATAATAATAAATAATAATGATAAAACAAAAATAATAATAAGAATAGTATTAATACAAATAATAATATTAAATAATAATAACAAAAAATATTAATAATTGTTTTAATAAATTTAAATTATATTTAAATGACATAATGTTTATATTATATATTTTATATTATTATTTTATATCATTATATTTTTATATTACAAACAAAATTTACTCAACTATTTATTTTATTAGTAAATGTTAAAAATTAAATAAAATAAAAAATTAAAAATATGATTAAAACTTACAAACATGAAAGATTTAAAAAATAAACTAAAAAAAAAAATATAAATATATAATATATATATAAATATATTTTATCCATGGTATTCAAGTTGAACACATAAATATACATATATTTAAATTATTAAATTTCATTTAAATATATATTAATATTATTTTAATATTGGTTTTCTTGCAACATTATTTTTGGCCAATGTGCATAGCGCATAAGTTTTGGGTAGAAAAACAGAGACGACACAAATACACACACACACACACATACAACACATATTATTTATATACATATATCCAAAGTATGGTCATATTGGCTATATAAGTACAGCCGATTATGAAGAATTTCGCTGCAGTGGTATGTGTGTTTATCTGTGTGTGTGTAAGCAAACTTATTCGATCTTAATATAATTGGCTGTCAGTGCGACGTTTGATCGCCCCTGAAAGATATATACAAACACACACACACACACACACGCATACAGCTAAAAGCGTACAAAATGTCGGCAGCTGTTGCTTAAGAGAGTGTTATTATTGTGTGCGTGTGTGTGTGAGTGTGTGTGTGTATTGTTTCTTTGAATACAATTTATTTGATTCTCTTTATACAAATGCATTTGCAATCATTGTTATTCATAATATCTTGGCCCATTTCAAAATGGCCTGCAAGCATTTAAATTTCGTGTGAAGCCACCCGCCCGTCCGCGACCCTTGCCTTTGGCCCCTTGTCTAGCAACTGCCGTCTGTTGGCTAATTGAAAATCAATTAATGTGGCATCGCATATTGGCAGCATATCAGAATATCAGACGATGTCAGACGCGCTTGTCAGAAATCAGAGAGAACAAAAAAAAGAAATGAAAAGAGAATGAGAATGAGAACGAGACGAGCTCGAATCCTTCATTCTTTTGTTTTTGCTTTGCGCTCTTTAGTCTGTTTTATTTTTGGCTTTTGCTGACAATTGGAATTTGAGTCCGAAAACTTCAGGTTCAATGAATCTTCAAGTGCGTCTTAAAGCGTTTCACAAGTCTCAGCCGGCACAAGCTTTGCATGCCCAAGTAGCTCGATATGGGGGCTCTCGGTTTGAACTGGGATTGGTTTGGATTATAATGCGGATTTAATTAACGTGTAACTGGGAGAGATGCAAATTGCTAACGTGTCTATTTCTAATTGTTACAGGTGAACAAACAGTACACGGCCAACGATCTGGAGGCTTTTATGAAGATAGCCGCCAACTGGCAGAGCACCAACCACAATCTGCTGGAAGGTGTCGATCTGAAGACAGGTAGAGTACCCTCAGATTGAGATGCCCATTCGACATCCAATGCAATCTAACCTGTTCGATTTAATTGCAGAAATGACGCAATACATGAACAGTCCATCGATGAACATGTATAAGAAGCGGGAGCGCACACAGAACTGGAACCATCAGGAGAAGAAGTACTTGCTGGATCTGTGCCGCAAGGATATGCGCATCATTGAGAACAAGCGGCTCGATGCGGGGCTAACTGCTGTCAAGAACAAGGCCTGGAAGATCATACATCAAAAGTTCTCCAATCAATTTGGCACCGATCGCACCTGCAATCGCCTCAAGGAGCAATGGCGTCGCATGAAAGGTGAGCTTGAACTCGGATTAATTAAGACTTCAAGAGTCCTTAATCGATTGATGTCATTTACAGCCTGCACGCGTAATGAGATACTGGACTATAACAATCGCCTGGCCAGGTTTGGCGCCGAGGTGGCCGATCGCAAGAAGCCCTCGCCGTTCACCTTTGAGGTCTGGGACTTTATGCAGGAGGCGAAAAAGGCCTGCAAGTCGGAGGCGCTCGATGGCATTGACTACTCCAAAATACCGCTCGCTCTCGAGGAGGACTTTGAATATCGCGATGACTACAAATTCAATGCCGATGAGCACGACATGGATGAGTGAGTAGCCTTAAAAATCAGATCAGCTAAGAAATCATAAGCTAACTGTAAAATTTCTTCGTCTGCCAATTGCAGCAGTCGCACACCGCCGCAGGAGCTATGCGATGTGGACATCAAGGAGGAGGAGACCAACGAGACCTTCAATGAGACCTACAACAATCACAGCAGCGACATCCATGCCAATGGGGAGCGCCTGAGTGTGTCGCCCAATCACAGTCGCAACGGCCTGCGCGAGTCAGAGAGTCCGGCGGCCGCCGCGTTGGACACAAGCGCCGTTGGCGGCGCCTTCATGCCACCCACTGGGGGCGATATGTCCGGCTTTCAGCCTAGCTTCAACATGAACAACATATCCGCTACGCTGGAGGCGCTCAATGCGCTGCGCAGTGGCCAATTTCCGAATGCCGCGGCAGCTGCCGTTGCTCTACAGCAGCATCAGGCGCAGGCTGCGGCGCTGCAGCAGCAGCAGCAGCAACAGCAACAACAGCAGCAGCAGCAGCAACATCAGCACAACAATAACAACAACAATAACAATGAGGACGACGATGATCTGCTGAAGCCAATGGCCAAACGGCAGCGCACGAGCAGCAGCAGTCTGGCCAGCGAGGAGCAACAGACAACGCTGCCGCTGCCACTGCCGCTGGCCAGCGCAGTGTCCCACTCCTCAGACAGTCAGGCATTGGAGCGCAGCAGCAGCAGCGTCGTTGGCGCTGCCAGCAGCAGCAGCAGCAGCGCCGCCGCCGCCGCCGCCGCCGTGGCCGGCGCCCTTACCAGCAGCAGCAGCACAGCCAACTCGTTCGAGCTGCGCATGTTCATGGAGATGCAGAGCAAGGAGCATATGATGCGCATGAAAATACTGGAGGTCCAGCTGCAGGCGGCCAAGCACAGCCGCGATCTGGTCGAGATTAACAAAACGCTGGCGCTGCAGAAGCTGCAGGAGTTGGCCAGCAAGCGGTTGCCCAGTTAGAGCAGCGCTGGGCAGAACGTTAACTGCTTGATTATCATCGTTTTCATCGTTGTTATAGTTGTAGCTGTAACTTTGTAGCACGTAGCACTTAGCACGTAGGGCGTAGCTAAAGTTAAATTTTAGACTAAGAATCAATTTTGTATCCAGAGACAGACAGGCAAAGGCACAAATACACACACAGACACAGACACAGATACAGACACGGACAAGGACACATTGAGCTGCAATTCACAACATTCCTGGCATTGTTTGACCAGTATTTAAAAGCTAGAAGCACACGCACACACACATACACACATACAGGCAGAGACAGACGGCAGCTCATTTCACTTTGCAGCTGCAGTGGCGCACAAAAGTATGCCATATTATTTTATATAGTTAAAGGACTCTCGCCCCGAACGCAACCAGAAACAGCCCAAGCATACAGCCTACCTCACACACACACACACACACTCGCACACACACAGACACACAACACTTAGCAGCTAGCGTTTGGGGCGGGAGTCGAGAGGCGCGGCGTGTCTTGTGGCTCGGCACTTGACCAAGTCAAGTGATTTGTGAATACGCCCGAACGCATTCAAGTTTTTAGTTCTACTTAGTTTTAGTTTTAGTTGTAGTACTTGTAACAGCTCTCCATGTTGCTCAAAACCTACATACACACGCACACTGACACACACACTTTACTTACCACAAATGTATTTTAAAATGTACTTATAAAAAAAAAAATATATATATATAAATATATGGATATATATATATATATTTTCTTGACTTGAGTTCGACTAACGAAATGCACAACACAAAAACAAAATCTTTTTATCTTATTATAGAGCTTAAGTTATTCACTTTATTGTATTACGCGTATACCCTACCTATTATCATATATGATCAAAATTTTGAATGCTGATTTCATATTTATTCTCAATGTAACATGTGAACATGTTTTTGTTTTAAATGCCATATTTAATTAAATTGCAAACACGCACACACACACACACACTCTCTTTGAAATGCTGTCTGGCACTCTATGAACTATATATATCCCGATATATATATATATATACATACTTAAACACTTTATATATAAACAAAGAAAAACATTTGAAAGCAGCATTATTTTATTTTTCTGTTTTTATTTTTATTTTGTTTACCTCTGTTATGTAACGCTTCCTGTAAAGCAACTGTAAATGAGAAATACAAACTATTTTAAATAAAATGATGAGTACTTTTTAATGAAAATATGAAGATCACCGTGGCATATCCCATTTCAATGGCTAGCATATATATATCTGTCTACAGTGGAGTTCTTTTTCTGGTGACTTGTAAGTATTTTGCATGGGCGAGCAGCCGTTTGTTCGTTGTCAATCTAGAGCTCACATAGCGCTCCTGCAGCACAATATAATCCCGGATGAGGCACAGCATTTCACGTTTCTAAAGCGAATCTTTGGATATGGTAGACATCTTAAGTTCCTATACAGCGAGTGCTACGTACCCGCAATAAATTTTCAACTTGTTTGCTCCACATAGCCGAGATCTAGAGGGCAAAAGAGCAGAAATCGAATAAGCAATGACTACGATTGTCTCTTACCTTTGCTTTAGTAATTTTCGCCTTTTCTTCTTCGGTTATGCGGCTCTGTTGATATGTCCTCTGCAGCAACCTGATGATATTCCTTACCGCACCTCTGTGCTGAGCGCAGACCCACATGTTATCGAATGAAGAATTTTGAATTTTGTTCCAAAAAAAGAGAAATAGGTAGTTCAATGAAAAGATTAGCAGATATGCATCAGCCTACTGATCGATTTGGCGACTTGGCCCCGTTTCCACAATCATTTTACTAAGTGATCACAAAAACATCATTTCAATTGTCTGCTTGCTGGGTTATCACACTCTGAGTCTGATGCAAATTCCGGTTGCTCTCCGCCTTTTGGCTCGTTATTTGCACACTGGTTTCCACTTTGTGCTCCCTTAGGCCTCTCTCTCTAGCAATTTTGTTCCGCAGATTTCTGAGCTGCTCATTTTGCTGTGGTCACAAAAGGAGAATCGTTAGTAAAGATTGGGTTTATCTAGTTATATTTACGCACAATTTTCAAGAAATGCGCATTCTCTACGGCACGGGCTCTCTCATAAATCTCCTTTGTATAATGACGAGACATGATAAAAATCGAGCCCTGTGGAATTGCATCAAAGATCGGTTTGACAAACCGAACGGACTCAAGCGCCTTGCACACAGGCAGCATACTAATTTAAAAAAAAAAAGTCTAAAGAGATAGTGTTAACAGAAAAATTTTGAAATTTGAATTGAATTCTGTATGGCGCTAACTACATTTTGTCAAAATATTTTGGGGGACAGTTTGTCAAGACCTACCTAGTTAGGCTTGAGTCGAACTTCCATTCACTTGTCATCCTTCATTTTCTCAATTTCTGTCGAGATCTCCTCAATCTCTTCATATAACTTATCAATTTTCTCATTAATTTTCGCCTTTTGTTCCTCATTTATTTTCTTTAATTTTTGTAATTGATCGTATTGCTGAGAATGGAGATAGACATTGTTATTGATATTGTGAATATACGAATGCGTTAGGCGAATACAAACTCTTTTCCGAAAGTAAACGTTCTCTCTGGCCTTGCCCCTCTCATGGATATCTGTGACATGCTTCCTATGCAAGGATGCATTACTCATATTGCTCAGCATTGTATTTTCTGAGTTGGCATTAAAAGCGCCCATAAAAAGTCGATACGAAAATTTTATGAACAACATAATCCTGGTATAAATACAATTAAAAAATTTGGAAAGTTCAGTCAACTAATTACTTAAAAATGTACCTGAACTGAGCTATACAATGAGCAAATTTCTATGGCGCCTACTACGATGCAGACTAAGTATACGTTAGATCTACGAATGGATAAAAGTAAAGTGAAGTTCACTTCACCAATTTCTGGGCATTTAAATGCTAAAATGTTTTCAAGCGGAGAATTTATTGGTTAGCCATAATAGTATAAAAGCACATTTCTTTCCTAGTATCTTATCAAGTCCCTTATCTCATCAATTTTATCCTGCAGATCCAGGATTTTATAGTCCAGTTGCCTTCGTTCAGCCATCTTTTGGCGCCTCAAGTCCATAAGTGCATCGTATTGCTGATGGAAATGGAAAACACATGTACTACATACTATACAGAGAGTCAAGTACGCACCATTTTGAGTAACTTGGGGCTGCTATATTCCTTGGGTATTTTTTCGTAATACTTTGCAGACTTGGATCTATAAAAAATTATTGCTCGATTGTATTAAGTCTTCTGTGCATAGGTAGTAGGACTCACCTAACGCATTGGAAGGAAAAACAACGTTGGGGATTAAACAGGTTGAAAGCTGTTTTGAATCTGCAGCCGAATAAACCGTCCATAATGAAAATTATGCACAGCAATGCAATTTTGACTATTGAATTTGAATTTTGAACAAATTTTGGAATTTCCAGTTCATGCCAAAGTGACAAACAAAATAAGTGAACTGGAAAGTCTATTCAATAAATGAATTTTAAGTCCACGAGCTTTATGTTTGCTTGGAATTTCATAAAGGATTTACGAACCGAGTCGAGAAACTGAGGAGTGATGTCCTCAGAGTAGACAACTTATCTGATGGTTGATTCTATTAATGAAAGTAGTTTTTTTTTTATAAAACAGCATATAATTTTATTAAATTTACTGTTCAATAGTTTTTAGTTATGTATAATTGAATTCTTAATGTTTTCCATTCCTGCTGGCTCAACATTTATGATTATATTATTTCTTTGTCGCATCCTTTAAACGCAATTTGACGTATTCAATTTTTCTATCCAATTGTTCAATTTTATAGTCCAGCCTGAGGCGATCGTGCAGCTTTTTTTTCTTGATTAAGTTCAGTTGCAAATGGAGCTATAACAATTACAAATATAAACAATTATATAGATATGACAAGTTTTGGTAATACAAACTCTTTGCAAGGCGTTTTGATAGTCACGCGGATTCATATTATTCATCAATTTTCGACTGTAAGGTCTATAAAAAAAATGAACAAGACATATAGATATATATGATATATATGAGCTGAACACTCACTGAAACTTTGTGAAGTGGACTAATCTCAACGGCGTCAACAAATTTAATACTGCTTTAGTTTTGAGGCCAAAGAACAAGGCTGCCATATTCCAAATCTTAAAAGAAAAATTTAAAATTACACAAAAAAAAAAAAAAACAATTTAGGAAATTCAAGATGTTAAAATGAGTTATAAAAGTATTTTGAAAGTAATGAAGTTATTCGGAAGGCCTACGTATTCATAATTTTCTGGCGAATCAGGTTTTACTATTTTCACGCTCATCGTTTTTCCTTTTGATAGATTCAATCTGCTTGTCCAGCTGCTGGATACGGTCTTTGATCACCTCCTTTTCCTTAAGTATTTTCTGACGCAGCTCCTTCAGCTGTTCCCGTTGCTAACAGATAGAGGGAGGATGGTTAGTAAATAGCACAGTCTCGGATGCATTCCATCTCGTACCATTTTCAGGAAATGCACATTCTCCTTAGCCTTGCCCACCTCATAGATCTGATTGGAAAACCTACGGGCGATCGAACAGCAGCAGCAGAATTTCAGTTATCGACATCACATCATATCATATCATACTCACTTCAGCAACTGCTGCCATCGCACGACTGGCGACGACTGCAGCAGGCGCAGATTCTTGGCAACAAAGAAACTGAGAAACCGTTGAATGGGAGACATTTTGTTAATTTTGAGATGCTTAAAATTTTGAATGATAAATTTACAAATATAAAAGCATTGAAATTTACTAGCATATGAAGGGCAGTGGCATTTTCAAACTTCAACTTGAAGTCTAAGGTAAGGCTAAATTGAGCTGAGCATTTACTAAGAAGAAATGCCGACAAAGATTAAACATATATATTTATTTATAGCACAGATGTCGTCTCATCCCATCACTAGCAAAAACAATCACAGATCTTTAGTTGTTATAAAGCTGTTAATAATTTATTGAAGTTTGCAAAAAGATGTTTGATCGTTCTTAGGGCATGTCAGTGGCTTTTGTTTAGGCGTACATGGTCTGGGGCCGACCAGGTTGTCGTATGGGCGCATCGTAGATGAAGGGCCGTTGCTTTGGCCGGGAGCCCGAGGAGCCGCCCCTCCAGCTGTTGCCACCACTGTCACGGGATGGCTCTGCCACTGCGCCGGGCAGACTTCCGAGCGTCGCGATCAGAGCCAACAGCAGAAAGAAGCAGAGTGCGATGAATTTCATGATGTTCTCGGTGAAGCTTGCTCGGTGCGACTAATAGCTCAGCTCAGGCGAGGCGATTATATATGGAGACAGCAGTCGCTTGCGGGTTGCGGTGAAGCACCGAGTGGGATTTTTGCGATTTGCGTCTTCCAAGTGAGCCCCCTGATAAGCGACCGTAACAAAAAAAAAAAAAAAAAAAAGGAAAAAAAAGCCAAAACAAAATCACCGACTCTCTCTCTCTCTCTCATTCGCTCGCTCTCCCGCTCCCTTTTTCTCCCTATATCTTTTGCTCGCGTTTCGCTGGCGGCTCTTCATTTGTTGGGGTTTCCTGAGGTGCTATGGGTGCCGGCTTCTGCATCTGCATTAGATCAATGTCGAATTCCATTTGTTTAATGCTCCTCGTCAGATCGGTCAACATGGATTCGACGCATCGCTGTCTCTGCCAGAGCAGCTTCGAGCGGGCCTCAAGCTCAGCGCGCTCCTATAAATGTTAATCATATGTATTCTCTATAAATAAACCTGGCTGAACTTACCAAACGCAATTCCTCTAGCTCCAGGTCTGTGCTGTTTCGCATTACGTTAGCCAGATTAAAGTTGCTTTTGATCAAGTATTTCCTACATAGTACCGTCATTTATTAGTGGTAGCAACTATTTCTGATTTGCACTTACCATTGGGTGAAATCTTTGGTCTGCTTTAGAATTTTGCGTATTAAGTTTGCCATTTTTTTGGTGTTTTTTTTTTAATATTTGTCTGTATAACCGTCAGAAGCCAAGAATCTGTTTTATGAGACGAATGTTTGCTTCCATATACAAGGTATTGTTATGTTCTAACTGAAATATTTCACAATGTATACCAGTTTATAGATTTCGAATTCAGCTTGCTGGAGATTAAGCATAAAATGTTTGAGGGCATAAAATTTGGGTGTTTATCACTTGGGTACATTTATCCAAATGAGATCATTTCTGAACAATTTGAATATTTAAGGCAAGCTTAATAGTCGTATACTTTATTTTGGACGCTACTGTAGGAGCACTTTTGTATGAAATTATTATTGCCTACTTTTAGGCATGCACAGTAAATTTGATTTGCAAGTGCTTATCACACTGACCTAAAGCGATCTGAAGAGCTTAGTTCCGATTTAGTGTGTGTGAATATATATTAAAAATATAGGTATATAAATAAATATGCTTATTTATACCTAATATTAAAAGTGGGTGTACTTTTTGTGAATCAAGCGACACAAATTTCAGATTTTCGTCATCGGGAGCTTAAAATAACGGGTAAACGAAATAAAACAGGGCGTGTACCTTCTTTTGAATTCACAAACAAGAAATTTCCCTCCATAATTATCGCCGAAGCCTCCAAATATATACGATGAAATTCACTTTACTGAACCAGAAGTAATCTCAAAATTAATTTACGGATGAATGAAAAAAATGCTAATAAATACAAATTAATGAATGACTTTGTACTTTTTTTTTGTGTACAACAAACCCGTCTTAAATGCTGTTAATTGCATGAAATATAAATACTTGATTACAATGTATTTATTCATGAAGTTTGACCACTCCCGTTGCAAAGCAAATCGCAAACGTTGTCATCTCTTAGATGATTCAAATTAAAATTGTAATTAAATCATATTTATCAATGAAGGCGACCGAGGCGACCCGACCCGACTGACGGCGGCAGCAAAACAAATTTACTTAAAAGTTGTATATGCCAGAAGCAAAAATATCAAAAAACAGTTTTTATTTAAGCATTTAAACAGTTCGGTTTAAGCTTTAAGAACAATACAAACAAAATCTCTAAATGCATTTAAGTAAATGTCATATCATAGTTTCAGGTGATGTGAAAGCTGCGTTGTGTTGGTTGCTTTGTTGCTTGGTTCACTTGTTCAGGTTGTCGAGGAACTGCTTGTGACGCTGGATGGCCTCCTCGTGCTCCTTGATCTGCTGATGATGGAATTCGGCCTGATGGATCTGATCGTTCTTCAAGCGCTCCAGCTGCTCCCTTTGCTATAAGCAGAACAAAAATGGTCGTTAAAGAAAGTAATTAGCAAATTTAATCACGAGAGCACTCAAACGTTATTCTGTCTTAATTATAGCTTGACAATAACTGACAACATCTATTATCTTTCGCATTATTTACAGACAACAGCGACTACGCTTATAAAGCCGCTTAACAATGGGCCAAAGCCCCAGTGTCTGAGTGTCAACGCGAATATTAAGCAAAAACGATTTTTTAGCACACACTTGACAGAATACAAACAACTCTCCAGCCAACCCCGAAAAAAAAACCCAAAAAAAACAAAAAGCATGTCACTCTATGCAAATTAGCCAGCTACCATATTATTAGCTTACGAGCGAGAGAACATAAGAGCCAATAAAGAGAAAAAAGAGGTGGGGAAAAAACGGCCAGCATATAATCAGTGCTGCTGCGGCAGTAGCAGTAGCATCTGCCTGAGATCCACACGCTGACCAAAGTCAACCCTGAACCTGATTCTGTATCAGTTGTATTGGCTATAGGCTGGCTCTGCCGGCCAACCAGTTTTAGTTGTGCGTCGCCAGTTGAAGTGACAAAAGCGCGAGTAAAAGCAAAGACTCTGCCAAGAAAGTGAGCATTGCTACCAACACAACTGGCCGCGCAGAGGGTGTCCAGCCACAAAGCAAACACACATACAGCTAATTAAAAGTCAATTCTCATGAAAAAAAAGCTTAGCTTTAGCTAAATTATTGTATAAATATATAATACCTATCAGTTCCAAAAAAATAAACAAATACACGCACCCATCAAATTCTATATAAGCAGCTGATAAGCGCAGACCAGATCAATTCCATATAGCTCATTGACAACTTCGGAAATCATTCAAGATGAAACGTTTGCGCAACAGCATGTGGATTGTGCCGCTGCTGCTGGTCGTCGGAGCGAGCTTTGGCGTTTTGGCTGCCGGCTACACTGGTGGGGTGAGCAGCCATCTTGGAGGTGCGCGACCCGTGCGCTCTTTGGAGACGCTGAAGGAATGGCAGCAGTTGGAGTACGGCTTTGCCTCGGACCGGGATCGGCAGAAGGCGCAGTCGGATGGCAATTTGATGCCTGGCTATGGCACGCCCATTGATGTGCAGCCCCATTATCTGCCCAATGGACAGGTGCGCATCTTCACCACAGTGCCACGCTTCGTCACCGGCATACCCTATACCCTGGCCACAGTCTCCGAGCGGTCGGGCCGCAATGGACCCCAGTTGCAGCCGTATCCGGGCTACAATTGGCATAACAACAATGGCGACAACTGTGACCAGATTACGTCAGCATTCCGTGTGTCTGTGAGTAGTTCGAGCTGTTCGGGACATAGAATAGGAAATCTAAACTCTTTCTTCTGCTATTGATAGATCAACGAGTGCAATCAGATGTGGGTCATTGATTCGGGCAATGTGGGTGGTGTGCAACACTGTCCGCCACAGTTGCTGAAGTTTGACCTGAGCACCGATAGTCTGCTGCATCGCTTCCGTTTGCCCAACGATACCTATGTGGCTCACGCTTCGATACTCATCGCAACCAATCTGCTGACGCAGGACCCGCCGCCGCGTGGCAACTGTGCCCGCACCATGATCTATATACCGGACGTGAACTACCACGGACTCATCGTCTACGATCATCAGGCCGATGCCGCCTGGCGCATTCAGAATCGCTTCATGTACCCGGATCCCGACTATGGCCGCCACACCATTGCCGGCGAGAGCTTCACTCTGATGGACGGCATCTTTACCGTGAACAATGACAGGCAGAATCTCTACTTCCATGCACTGGCCAGCATCAGCGAGTACTCTGTGCCGCTCAGCTTGATCAACCGGCGACAGAACTGGGCAGAGGATTCGGGTGCCATGGAGGATCAATTCAAGCTGCTGGGCAGGCGTAAGAGCGAGTGTGCCGCCTCTGCTATGGACAGTCGCAACAATCTCTACTGTGTCACCCTCAATCCGATCAAGCTATTCGCCTGGAACACGAACACGCCCTACACCACACGCTACTTTGGCAATCTGCCAGCCAAATCCAGCGAGCTGCAGTTCGTTAGCGGCATGAAAGTCGTGCGCAATCCTGGCGGTCAGGAGGAGCTCTGGATGCTCTCCAATCGTTTTCAGGTTAGATATAGCTTCGACTAGCCTCTTGCGCTCGGTCTACTGAACTATGTTAATTTTTTTATTTGTTTTTCTATAGAAAATTTCGGCGGGCACATTGAACTCGAACGAGGTTAACTTCCGCATCATGCGTCGGCAGCTCGACGATATTCACAGCGGCATGTATTTCGCCAGCGACGATGACCTGACCAATCGTCTGATCTTTACTTAAGCTCCACAGTAAACAGTTATAGCTAAGCATCAGTTGAATATTTAAATACAATATACTTAAATATCTAAGGCTTTCACAAGGCGCAATAGCTAATTACCTATATAGTATAGTTAACACTCGTTAAAGTAAATATTCAAATATCCCAAAGCTCTGCTTCTATATTAATATAAAATATATATCCTATAATTTTATCAGACAATTAAAATACTTATGAATTATGATGATTGCAGTCATTATACAAGAATTTCGTATTCCTTACAATTTGAATACCTGCACTTGATCAAAAATGAAAACAAAAACAAAAAAAAAAAAAAAACAAATCTGACACGTTTTCAAAACACATTATACAGGGTGGTTTTGTTCGTGATACAATGCTACGCGTTGTTGTATTACTATCGCTTATATTTTTGTCATCAAGTTCATAAGTCGCCTTATCGCTAATGCTACGCATTGAAGATGAATTCGCGCCAACACATGGAGCGAGTGGAATTTGTTTTACGGCAACAAGTTAACAATATTTAAGCGGGATCCGGTTATAAATAAAAATGGCAAAAGGCTATAAAGAGGGCTTTCAAAACGACCAATTTATACTCTCTAATGACAGCTTATACTAACTAGAGTAGTCTAAGCAACTAACTGAGAAATAGCTCTTTATATTCTTTCTTTCTATTTAGCTGCTCACTAACCCAGTTTCAATACAAAAGAAATTTGAGCAGAGAAACTTGCAATAATATAATAATATAAATATATCTACCTAAAAACCTCGCCCTAAATGAAAATTTCATGGGAATTTTTTAGCCAAGGCACACAAAAACAAATATTATACCAAAGCAGCGCGAATTTCAGCTCAGCTTTGTTGATATTCACGAGCAAAAAAAGGGTGTCAACACGGGCTTAAGCAAACAGCGAAATCAGTTAACAAAAAGTCTTAACGACTTTCGTTAGAGTATATGTAATTTATTGTTACAACACATATATAGGGGGGGCAATGGACTCTACCTTGACGCCGTGTATTGCATCGAGTGGAAGCTGGAAGTAACTGGAAGTGGCTGGAAGGCAGGGGCATAATTAGTGCCCCGCATCGCACTGCTTTGCCAGATTTGTTTTCGGGCAGCAGTGGACTTTAACAAGATCGTTACAATGAGAATTTAATGCAAGCTTTCAATTGGCAATTAAACCAGTTTACCACAAAGCTGACCCAATTGATCAGGTCTGGTCGGTCGGCTGATAGCCGGATTAGAAAGACATGGGCCGTTCGCTGGCGACGCGAGCGCAGTAACTGTTTTGGCCTTACGTGGAGCACATCGTGCGAAAGTGAATGGATTACAGCAGCATGCATTGCCAGCATTGCATAAGGATAATTGCTCTAGTTAGCTGTTTGATTGCCATTGTGGCAGGACAGTATGCCACAGCACCAGGCATTGAATACCACTCCAAGGCCTTGGAAAGAGTCTTTGAGGCGCGCAACTTGGAGCTAGGCTTTCCGACGCCAAAGGAACGTGAGCGTGTCCTGCGCGCCGGCCTTTATGATCCTGACAGTGTTGTGCCCATCGATGTGGATGTCTACTATACACGTAAGTAAATGAGTTTGGATATTAATCAAATGCAAGGCAAAAAGCTTCAATGCTGACATCATTCGCCTTTGTTGTACATCGAGTTTAACTTAATGTGAACTTTCTCTCGCTTAGATGGTGACAAAACACCCTCGATCTTTGTGACAATACCTCGCTTCACTAAGGGCGTTCCCTACTCCCTGGCCTATGTCACCAACGAGGTGCGGGAGAACGGCACCGAGCTACGAGCCTATCCCAGCTACGATTGGCATCAATCTCATGGCGCTGACTGCAACGGGCTGACTTCCGTTTATCGCACACAGATTGACGAGTGCGGTCGCATGTGGATACTGGACAGTGGGGAGATTGACTTTGTGCAGCACTGCCCACCGCAGCTGTACGCCCTTGATCTGGCCAGTGGGGGCGTGGTGCATCACTACCGCTTGCCACAAGATGTGTACAAGACGGGCGTAAGTCGCTTTGTAACGCCCACTATTGAGATGGATGCGAAGAATTGCGATGTGGGGCATGTATACATGGCTGACTCCATTGGAGATGGCATTGTGGTCTATGATGTGGCTGCCCAGAAATCGTGGCGCATCGAGAACAAGTACACCTATCCGCATCCGGACTTTGGCACTTTCAAGATAGCCGGCGAGAGTTTCCAGCTGTGGGATGGCAGTGTGGCCATGTCACTGACGCCACACGGACTGGCGGGGCATTTGGAGCGCATGCTCTACTTCCACTCGCTGTCCAGCGACTGGCAAATGGCAATTCCCCTGAGTGTGGTTAATAATGGAAGCATCTGGAAGCGGAACGATGTCAGTGCAGGGCTCGATCAATTTATACTCCTAGGCAAACGAGGCAGCCAATGTGTGGCCGCCGCCATGAGCGAGACAGGCATGTTGCTCTGCGGCTTGGTGCAGCCGCCCAGTATACTGGCTTGGAATATACGTCAATCATATACCCCTGAGAATATGGCCCTGTTAATAGAGGACGAGCAACGGCTGCAGTTCGTCAGTGGACTGAAGATTGTCAGAAACCACGAGGGCAAGGAGGAGATTTGGGCGCTCTCTAATCGCTTGCAAAAGGCTTTTGGTACTGGGCTGAATTTCAAGGAAGTTAATTATCGTATACAGAAGTGCGGCATCTACGAGCTGCTGAATGGATTGCCCTGCCACTAGGCTCAATTATTCGATTATTCTATATTTATTAGCGGATTTTCAAGATTTCTCATGTAGCCTCTAATGCTATTTAAATAAATTGTAAATATTTTTATCCACTTAAAGTTCAAGTTGAACTGTAGTTCACTCACCTTTTTGTAGAAGTATTCCTCCTCACGTGCAGCCTCCAGTTTTCCGAAGGCGCCGCCAGCTTCACGAATGGAGCCGCCGCCACCACCGCCCTTGCCGGCGCCACTGCCCAAGTCGCCGACCTGGCTGCCGCTCATTTTCGCCAATCTGTAGGTGCAGCGCAATACATTGAAGCATTAGAATTTTTGCGCAGGTTATGTAATAGGAAGTCATAAGCCGAAACACAAACACACATATTTATATATATATACACACACACACACTCAAACAACTTGTGCCGGGTCAAGCGTAAAGAAATTTCGGGGCTCTATTTGTTTATCTTATCGGCACAATTTACAAAGTGTACATATAAATAGATATCTGTATGTAAGCGCATTAAGAAAATTTTAGTTTTTCAAGCCATTTTTTTGTGTAAAGGCGTTAGCCAATTAGCATTTAATTAGAGTAAATAACTTACTGCACTCCAGCTGGGTACAAACGGGCTGCGCTACGACGTACAACGAACATTTTTCTCAAAAAGTTATGCAAAAATTTGTGTTAAAATCTAAAAAGAGAAAAAAAACAGTTATTAAAACATACGATGATATGCGAGAAGTCGTTCAAGCTCAGTTGCATTCAACTCAAAAATTAACAAAGAAAAGTCTTTAGTATAAACATTGTATCTAGATATATATGTGTGTATATTTATTTTTCATACAAAGAAAAGCATTCAATAATATGTATGAACATTTATATATGTATATACCAGAAAGAACTTTTTGTGGCGCAAAAAAACGTACCTGACTCTTCTGCGTGTCAAACTTGTATGTAGAAGTGTGGCCGAAGCTTCTAGCCGGTTGTTCTTAGAGTTGCCAGTGTGTACGAGCTGTTGAGGCTGCCACCTATGGTTCCTTTTATTTGATGAGCATCGTAATCAAATTTGTGCAACTTATCATACAAGTTGTCAAGCATGTTGGATTTTAGCCATGGATTTCACATCGAGCATTAACACGTATTTATATTTAGTCTGAGGTGATACAATCTCTAGTTGACTATTTATGTCTATTTAAGATCGCAGGTCTGATACTTCATCATGCAACATTTTAATCGGGTGGCAACGCCATTTTGGTATTTTTAAGAGAGCGCCGCAACGTTCACACTTAAAGAGCTCTCAATAAAAATTTTGCCGACTGACGCTTGTTTATTTGTTTAATATAAATTTACTCAATTTATCGCGTAAGTGGGGCAATATCGCTAGCCAAAATGGCCGACGCCGACGATGGAGCTGAGTTATTGTTCTTCGACACTTTCTCACATGAAGAAGTTACCGTAAGTATAATCTGAATTTTCTTATATCAACATGCGTGTATTGAAAACATATCGCAACTGTTGCAGGATATCAACTTGGACTTGGTTCAGTTCCCGAAGCCCGTGTTTATAACACAAGTGCGTATTATACCATTGGGTGCGCGAGTTCAAGCGGACTTTCCCGGCGGCGTTCGTCTAGGTGCCACGAATCCGTCCAAGTTCGATCTAGAGTTCTTTGTCAATGATTTGGGTATGCCGGGTGCCTCAGCGTTTGAGAATCTTGGCTTGTTGCGCTATAACCAAAACGACTGCATACATCTGGACTGTTCGCAAGAGAAAATACCAACTGATGGTCTTGTGTTACGTGGCTGGTATAGCGCCATTACGTTAGCTGTATATGGCATACTAACCAACAATGTGACTGAGCCAATTGCTAGCCCAACTTTACCGTGCGAGCCAGCAATGACTGGACCCGAAATTTGCAATCTAAGCGGAGAGGTTCTCCTGCCCGATGAAGTGATCAAAGATGATTGGTCGGAGCCAATGCAGACTGAGCTGATGACTGCTTCTGCACACAAGGCTAGCGTCAGTGTCAGCGACTACGAGCACGATGATATCGAATATGGCATGTCGCGCGACCACTACCATCAGCATGCTGACGACGAGACGCGCGAATTGCGACGCATGCGACGGTCTACGCATTCTACTGATCACTCTCCACCGCCGCTACGCACGCACACGCACTCAGAGAGCAATGACAGGGAATACTTGCGCTGGTGAGTACTCTCATGGTTTTATCACTCCACTCTCAATTTCTCATGCTTCAAAATATCCATTAACAGCTCACGCGACAAGGCGCCGCGTGATTGGTCGCGCTCACCGGAGTACTCCAGTCACAGAGCGCGACGCAAGCGCTCAGAGCGCTCTCGCTCCGATGCAGATGAACACAAGTGGCCTCGTACGCCTCCCGTTTCAATCGACTCGCCAACACGTCCTCGCTCTCCAGATACCATGGACTATGACGACGACGATACACGCTCGCCTTATAAGCTGCAGAGCTCGCATGGCTATCGCCACTCTTCGGAGTCGTTACCACGAGAGCGTGAAGAAGAAGAGCGAGATCGTGAAAGAGAACGCTCTGAAACACCGCAAGAGCAGTTTGAGCCCATTCTAAGTGATGACGAAATCTTAGGGGACGATATAGAAGACGAAGACGATGGAGTGGATGCGGCTGCTGCAGCAGAGTATGAGCGTGAGCTGGAGGCAGCTGCAGCAGCCGCACCACCTGCCATAGACGCCTTCGAGCCATGGCAACGTCCGCTCCAGAAATACGATGGCGACTTGCTGACTCATTTCAGCAAAGAGCTCGATACACTGCGGCTACTCTTCAAGAAGCTATCTCTGCAGATCAGATGGGACAATGTGAGTGCCTTTAACGAAGAGCACGGCGGAGTCACTGTAGACGAGCGAGAGCAGTTCGTCTACCTGGGCGAGCAATTAAATATTCAACTGGGCTACTTAACGCAGCACTACAAGCGCCGCAATTTTGTGCTCCAGCAGTTTTTCAAGAACGATGAGTCGCATTTGCGTCAAGCAGCGAACATTTTACAGATTGCATTGAGCTTCCAGGCGGCCTGCATGCAACCACAACCAGCATTTAAAATACGACATATCAAGCTGGGCGCACGCATGGCTGAGTTGTTGTGCAACAACGAGCAGCTGTTCCGACATCTGCTGCAGCAGCACAACTTTGATCCGTTCGAAGCCGTCTTCAGTCTCTATCAGGAGCCCTACATGGCACTGTCTATAAAACTGCAGCTGCTTAAAGCTGTCTACGCCATGTTGGACACCCAATTGGGCATTAAGCATTTCCTGGGCGGCAACACCAATGGCTATCAGCTCATTATCGAGTCTATCAAGACGGCCAAGCTCACACGCACCAAATACGCCCTGCAGGCCATCATAAAAAAGCTGCACCTCTACGAAGCATTGGAGAGTGTGCGCAACAGCTGCAATCAGCTCTTTGTTCGCAAAGTGGAACGGCCGCCACAGCAGATCTGTCAGGAAATCGAGTATGCGTTTGAGATGATTATGGATGCTTTGGTAGCCAACCAGCTGAGCTTTCAGCAGCCGCGTCGATTTCTGCCCGTCTCCAAGAAGTTCGAAGTGGTCACCGATCCCAATGCACAGCGAAGCTTTGGCAATGCGCTGCAATCCTACTTCAAACAGCATGCGCTGGCCGAATCCCTGCTGCTGATTCTAAGCAATGCCAAGGAACTACCAGCCACCACATTCCTTTGCACGCTGGATCTGATGCATGCTCTGCTCAAATCGCACGTGGGCATAGACTACTTTGTGGACGATGCGTTCGAGGCGACACAACTTATTGTGGCCATACTTCTGGGTCTGGATGAAGTGCCCACCATGCCCAAGCCAGAAATAGAAAAGGAGGAGGAAGAGACTGGTAAGTGACTGGCATAGGTCTAGCTTTTATGCAATACCTATATATACCTATAAATATTGCAGTTAAGTCTGAGGAACCGGATAAGCCTTTGGACACATCAGACAGCTCCGATAAGGAAGCAGAGGTAAAAGCTGAGGGAGCAGCTGCTGCAACTGTGGCCATTGACGTTGCCGTACAAACGGAGCCCACGCCAGTCAAAGCACCTCAAAAGCTGGCGCCCGTCCTTCGGCCCGTGTTGCCACGCTTAGCCCGCCTGGGGATCGAGTTGGCCTACAAAGTGCAGACGCGCTATCACCTGGATGCGATTGTGTTCACGGCAGCACTGCCTGAGTACGATGCCATCACAGTGGCCACACATATGCACGCAATATACTCACAGACCTGCGACCCGGCAGGTCGTCAGCACACCATCGAGGTGCTGGGACTGAATAATAATCTAAAGATTTGCATGGACCTCATCAAAAAGGAACAGCGGCTGCAAGCGCAGCGACAGCTGAGCTCGCCAGGCACCAAATACAAGAGTCCAGTGCTCAGCTATGCGGTGGACATGGTGGATTGCTGTGTGCGCTATTGTGAACAGCTGGACTACCTGATCGAGCATGGCGCTGTCATATTGGAGCTGGCCAAGAACCACGAGACCTTTGAGCCATCTGTGTCGGCCGTGCTGCAGGAGATGTATGTGTATATGAAGCCATTGGAGGCCATTAATGTGTTTATCTACGATGACATCATGCCCCTAGTTGAGGTGATTGGGCGATCTCTTGACTATCTTACCACTTTCCCTGGGGATTTGATTATGGCCTTGAGAATACTGCGTTATCTGGTCACCACGAAGTCGACACCGCCACCCGGCGTCAAGCAGTCCAAACGGCCGGACACGGAGGAGTTGAAACATCGCTTTGTGGCCCTCCAGCTGTACGCTGCGGATGGCGTACAGCTAATGATTCAGATAATGGAACGTCTGTGCACTTACTTTGAGCAGCCCGGAATGCATGCACCCGCTTTAATGACCATTCAGGGCGTGCACTGCTGCCAGATTATGTTGCCCACGCTGCAAATTCTACGCGAACTGCTCTCCTATGCCATACTGTGCCGCGATGGCGCCTTCAAAGACCTGACTTCGATCGATCATCTGGTTAAGGTATACTTCCTGTTGTACTATTATCCCACGCGTTGTCAGGCGGGTGCTGAGGTGGAACAGTGCAAGCTGGAAGTGGTACAAACACTGTTGGCCTATACGCAGCCGCATGAGCAAGACGAGGAGTCGTTGCATAAGTCCCTCTGGACGCAAATGATACGCGAGGTGCTGAAGAACATTGACGGGCCGGCCAACTTTATACCGGGCCTGAAGCTACTGGCGGAATTGTTGCCACTGCCGTTGCCCATGCCACAGCCACTGAGCGATCAACTGAAGCAGCAGCACAAGCAGCGTTTGATCACTGAACGCAAGTTATGGTCTGCTCACTTGCATCCGCAGAGCGGACAAATTGCCAAGCTGGTGGAAGCGCTGGCGCCTTCAAGTTTCCCGCAGCTGTCCGAGCTGCTGCAGCGCGTCTGCATGCAGCTATCAGACCTGGCGCCCAACATGACGCTGCTCATTGCAAAGACCATTATGGAACTGCTGTGCAATGAATACCAAAGCTCCAATTGCATGCCGACCACGAATCTGGAGCGTCTGCTACGTTTCTCCACGCGGCTTTGTGCATTTGCGCCTCTTAAGAGCTCCATGTTGTCCATATTGTCGGGCAAGTTCTGGGAGCTGTTCCAGTCGCTGCTGTCGTTGAACGAGTTCAACGAGGTGGTCTCCAATTGCCAGGAGGCAGTGCATCGCATACTCGACAGTTTCCTAGACTCTGGCATCTCCTTAATTTCACATAAATCCACAGCGCATCCAGCGCTCAATTTGTCGGCTGCACTGCCGCCCAAAGAACTAATCCCACGCGTCATCGATGCTGTGTTCAGTAATCTGGCCAGCGTGGAGGTCACTCACGGAATTTCCATCTTGGCTGTGCGTAATCTGGTCATCCTGACAGAGCACGAGTAAGTGTCAAGCATAGATCTCTTAGTGAACCTGAACTAAGTTTGTTTTCTCTTTGTTTAGCTACACTTTCTATCATCTGGCGCAGTTGTTGAAGCAGAAGATTAGCGAGTTCCAGGCATGGATGGAACGTGTTATACTCCACAATGAGACGGTTGAGTATAATGCAAACATTGAGTCGTTAATTCTGTTGCTGCGCTCCCTGACTCAAATTGAGCCAGCTCCAGCAATGTCTGCCATGCCTAGCCGAACGCTTAAGCTGGGTCCATCTGAGCTCGCGCAGCTGCTTGAGTTTCAGGATGTGGAGCTGGACAAGCCGCCGGTCTTGCAGCGCATACTTAAAGTGCTCGAGAAGCACAAGGCCGTGGCCAATGAGGCGGCTCTGTGTGATTTGAAACAGCTTATCGCCCTGCAGGCATCCAAACAGGAGCAAGAGACGCAGCCAACAACGACTGCCTCAGTAGAGACACCAAATGAAGGCGATGCAAATGCAACAGGTGGAAGCAACGTCAGCACAGGACCACTCAACATTGAGCCATATCTGCCACAAGCTGAGGGCATTGTCACCCAGTACGAGGCACGCCCCATATTTACACGCTTCTGTGCGACGGCTGAGAATGCCCAGCTGACTGCGCGTTACTGGCTGGAGCCGCTGCCAATTGAGGTCATTGAGGATATGGACGAGCCGCTGTACGAGCGCATTGCCTGCGACTTGACTGATTTGGCCAATGTGTGCTTAAATCCCGATCTGAATCTCACGGGCGATTGCAAGCGTGTGCTGCATTTATCTGGCTCTCCGCAATCCAATCGCGAGATGACACCCACAGCGCCTTGTTTCCGTACGCGACGTGTCGAGGTGGAGCCCGCGACGGGCCGGCCTGAAAAGAAGATGTTCGTAAGTGCGGTGCGAGGACGCGGCTTTGCACGGGCTCCACCCTCCCGTGGGGACTTATTCCGCTCCAGACCGCCAAACACATCACGACCACCATCGCTACACGTGGATGATTTCCTGGCGCTGGAGACGTGCGGTGCACAGCCCACCGGGCCCACAGGCTACAACAAAATACCTTCAATGTTGCGCGGCTCGCGCGTAGGTCGTAATCGCGGCTCACGCATATCAGCGGCAGCTGCCTACAGGTAAAGAGCTCGACGTTTTGTAAAAATAGCATCTTTATCAGTTTTGTTTTCCTCTCTCGCTTGCAGGCAGAAGAAGCTCTTACGCATCGGGTCGCCCTCCAATTGGTCTGAGACGACGGGCACGGCGTATCGTTCGGGCGCTGCTGAAGGGCATTTCAGCAGCAGCGACTCGCACTACACTTCGCCCCACTACAGTGGACGACCACGTGGGCGTGGCCTGCGCTCCAGACCGCCCTATTTGCGCTAGGAACGGCGCCAGTACTTGCATATATCAAACGTGTTTTGTTTATATTTGATTTATACAATTTGTATGTAAAGTAATTAAACTTAAGCATTCTCTGTAATCACACAATTCAAGCGCACGTCGTGATCCTCCATGGGCAGCTCCTCGTTGCTGACGATCTGCTCATTGAGGGCCAGTGCCATAATGGTTGTCTTCTTGTGCGGATACTTTTCGGCGTGCTGCTTCAGATATTTGTCATAGTAGCCCATGCCGTGGCCCATGCGATCGCCGCTGCGCGTGAATGCGACGCCGGGCACGATAAACAGATCGATGCCATGTCCTGCAGGAGAGATTGAGTACGCTACGCATAGGGATATCATACGGTCATTGTTTACCATTTGTCATGGCATCCTCGCGGCTCTCCTTGAAGTCGGGCTGCTTGATATTCCATTTGGTCAGCGGCAATCCCTCGTACTCGTTCATATCGCGCAGACGCACCATTTTCATCTTTGTGCCCTGATAGGTGGGCACGAAGACCATCTTCTCCAGCCTAAACATCTCGCGGATTATCGCAGTGGTGTCCAGCTCATCGCTGGTACTCAGATAGATGCTAACGCGCTGAGCCTGACGAAATGCCTCATTTTTCAGCACCTGCCGAAAACAGATGTTCGTAAGTCTAATCGGCGATCTAGATCTGACCTAAGCAAACTGACTCTGTCGGTCACTGCCTCCGATTGCCTTGCTATCATCTCGGGCGTTAAGCAACTGAGGACCTCCTTCATGCGCTTCCTCAGAGCTACCTTAAGGCTATTTTGGATGGCTGCCATGGCGAAGCACAGTGCACACACTCTTTGGACCGGAGAACGACTGACTTCAGCTTGCACTCATGCAGCCACTATAGCTCCCCCTCTGTGGATTAGTCGCTTATCAGTAAAACTGCGCATTATCAGTTTTTACCGACCACATGCTCTTCCTCCACCGATTCGTAAACAAGCAACAGGTCGGTTTGCATACATTGGTGTGCAGTTAGTTATTTGTATAAATTAATTGATAAGGCAATCACAAAGCTTGAGATTCACAGTGTTTATATAATTATTAACTTACATATTTGTATATTTATATAACGGTTCGCCTTGTCGTGCATTCACTGTAGCCCGATTGGCGTGCGCCCCCTTTTAAAACCAGCGATTGACACCTGATATTTAGCACTAAAAATGCCAGCAGTTGCTGCTATCAGTGCTGTCAGCGAGCCCGGGCACTCGTCGAATTTGGCTTTTTTCTCAATAATTTAGCCGCCAAATTTCAAAAGAGATGACGGTGTGAATAATTAAACTAAATTTATTCGAAAGAGTGAGAAGATAAATTAAATATTTTTAATTGAATAATTATTTAATATATATTTTCTTAAGATGCTGGCCAAAGTTATTAAGGGATATGCACTGAAGGGAATTCTCTATGTAATAAATCGAATGACAAACATGCCAAGGTTACACAAATATATTTTATTATATCGTATTGTAGGTTATCAGTCGTTCTCTGATTGTTTATCAAGTAGTAAAAGGTTATTTTAACTATTCCATAGTTTACATCGGTGCATTCAGCTCGAATTGTATTATTCAACTCAACTAAAATAGTTTTGCTGTTGCCCTTATATATGTATGTATGTATGTACACAAATAGAGAGGGACAGAGAGAGAGATAGAGTGGTAGTGCGAGAGAGAGAAAGAGATAACATATCTCTTACTTTTATAAATTCCTGATTAAGATTTATACGTTAAGTTCAAACTGATTGCTAATATTACACATTACACTTTACGCTAATCGTTGTAGTTATTTGCGTTGAAGTAAGGAGCCATTTATTGATAGCAAACAAACATACATATAAATTTAATGTTCTTCATACATTACACATTTATCACATTAGCTTATAATCTATTCGAAGTGATTAATGGATGCGCTCACAACAGTTTCTCGATAGTTGCCTGCTCATTGTACTTGCTGTAAGTTGCGAAGTCATCCATGTTCAATTTGTAGTCCCTCAGGTTGCCATCGGACCAAAGATCAAACTCGCGTATCACGTCCGCTGTCATTTCATCCTTGTGGCTGCCCACCACGCCCCGCCGCACAAATCTGTGTGGAGCAACGCTTTTTAGCCTTATGTAAGCGGATCTAAGTAGAGATCAGTGAAAGATTGACTCACCTGAACTCCTCCACTTCGCGGCCAGCTGCTGCCTTCATGCTCTCAAATTCCTTGGCGTGGTTGCAGGCGGGATTGTCGCGCATGCTCTCGAAGGAGAGATGCTGCTTCATCTGCTGCACCTGCTCAACGCTAACTGGGCGCTGCAGGAATCGGGCCACTTCGTTGATTACCTGATCGAGTTGGGTCTTCATGCGCTCGTAGCTGGTGAAGAAGATGTACGGCTCGTGGCGCAACTGCCAGAAGTCGAGCACGTGCGGCCAGCAGGGCGTGAAGTTCACATAGCCATCGATGAAGGAGTGCATGAAATCGTCCTTGGTGCCCTGATAGCCGACCATGCCACGCCAGTGATGGAAGTACGAGACGGCTGCGTCCTTGGGATTCCGATAGACGTAGATGATCTTCGGCTTCTTGGTCCAGACCTGGCGTGGCAGCAGCCAGGCGGGCAGATGGGACTTGATGAGGCGTGGCGAGCTTAATGCGTTGGCTGCCTCGATGGTGTCATGGGGCACGTTGGGCACAACGCCATTGAATCTATATTGACCAGAGGCTTAACTAGCTTCTCATTAGTCGGGTGTGGACAACTTACTCCAAAAATGGGGAGCGAATGGTCAGGTCCACGGACTTGGCCGTCTCAAAGTCGCACTGATTGAGCACCAGCCAAGCCAGCTCCTGCATCCAGGTGGTGCCGCACTTGGGCAGCGTGACGATCCACACATCATCCTCGCGCACCTCGAAGTCGTGCACGCGATCCAGCACGGGCTGGAAGGTGTCGGCCAGACGGCAGAAGCGCTGCTCCCAGTTGCCCACCACGGGCACGTTCGGCTTCCGGGTGGCGTAGATCGAGGAGTAGCCGCCGCTGATGGCCAGCTTGTCGATCTGCTCGAAGGGCACGCTTCTCGCAAAGAAACTCGACTCGGGCATAACGGAACAACGGTTGACTGATAAATTACGAATTTTCCAAATTGCTTAAAGACGCGCCCAACCGATCGCCTTCACAGTTTCCGCTGCATTAAATGCGTCTGCCATCGCTTCGGGAATATCGAGGCAGAATTTCTCGCCCTACGCTGAGTGCCAGAGATGCGCTCGTGAAGTGATGTGAAGAGCAGCAATGAGTGATGTGACTTGATAACTCAGCTCTGTTCATGTAGATTTACTCTTTTGGTAATCACTTTGCTACGATCACAGTCACAGTCAGCACAAGGCCTGGCTAGCATCACTAGCATCATTAGAACTGTCTATATAATGGGCATAAATATAAATATACTCATAAAAGCCATAACATTAATCACATTACTCAATAATGAACGTGAAGCGCCCGCTCAGCCCTTGCCTGAGCCGCATCACTAATGGAGCCGCAATCATCTCATACATACGTCTATAAGCGTATGCGTGTTATATAACTTGCAACAGACTCTCGTTTTTTGTGATCTTCGGTTTGATTTTCGAAATACTTGAAATGATCGGGTGCTGTAAGACTTTCTTTATGGAGGGCTTATGTTATGGGACCATGAAGCTCTGCTCGAAACCAGTCGCAAAAGAAAGTTTTGGTGTATTTCGGCTACCAATTCATTTTGTCAACAGTTTGTTTTGTTTGCTTGTTTACCTTGTGTCTTAGCAGGTGAAATTATGCGCACGTCTTCGGCCCCAGCCATTTAGCCCAAAGAATCGAAAACAGGTCGTTTGAATGCGGATCAGAAGTAGTGATTGACGCAGCTGTGGGCCAATTTGAAGAAGTGAGAGTGATCTGATCGAAAAGTTGAGGACTGGGAGATACGCTGGACATGACACGAGTTCTTAGCAGGTCATAATTCATTACTGCTTTTAGTAACTTAAATCTGATTCCATTGTAAGGCAGAATTGTCCAACATTTATATCAAATTTAAACTACATTAGCTACTAAATGTAGTAAATATATATATAAATATAAATATATATAATATATTTGAAGAGCTTAGCTTTAGATTTCAGCTTAAGTCTTTAATGTATTCCTACTCATAAAACAACATACGGACAGTCAATTGGGATAATATCAACTCAACTCATTATGATAATCAAAACAAAAACAATATATTCATTCCACTTTCATGAATGAGTATAAATATATACATATGTATACACGCTTACTTTCAACTGTTTCCTGCGGTTGCACAAGTCCATCATACCCCTCCAAACTATATTCACTGAGTTCCAGGCATAATAACAAATGACAGCTAATGTTATATATGAATATTATGAATATTCTCGCTTCTCTACATTGGCAAATTCAAACTAATTTGCATGCTCGACCTTGTCAAAGGCCCGAATGTAAATTTAACTTATTTTTAACTTCTATTTTTACCTCTTTTTATGTTTGCCATCATTTCAAAAGCGAAGGTCAGGTTTTTGTTCACTTTGAATTTGTATTTATGTATTTGCGTTTTTTATTCGCGTTTTGTTTTGTTTTTACAATAAATTTGACTAAATCTTAACATTTATAATCCTTAACCTGCAAGGAGCAAACAGATGTAGTAACAAATATATGTATGTCAGTATGTATGTAGTTGTATAAAGATTCTGCATGTTGTTGGGTTCAACAGACAGGATCGAAGAATTGTTTAATAATATGTAGAAATTTGCATGCATTTGTTTAAAGAGCTCGTATTTAAAAATAATTGTTTCTTTTTCGCTTTGATTTCTTTTTGTTGTTGTAAATACTTATTAAGAGGTGCGCGTGCCTGCTAACATCGACTAGCACGCACACGCCTGCACACATACACACACACACATATTAACAACAATAAATACATATGTATGCATGTAACTCGTATATATATTTTGTTTGTATTTGCATTCAATTAAAACGGAGTGCGTGGGTGTGTGCATGCATGTATTTTCATTTTTCTTATGAGTGTGTGCAATTCGGATTGGGCTTGGGAAACTGCAGATCGCT